TCCAATATGTAACCTAAATCACCGTATTTAGGTATATCGGTGACATTTCCAATTACTTTAGGATCTACCCACTTAAAGTTAGCATAAGGTAGCGGCTTCGACATTGCAAAACCATATAAATTATTGGCATCCAGGTAGCTTAGATAAACTGTAGGTTCGTCTTTATTATAGTCAGGGAGGTATTTGTTGTTTGCTTTTACATATCTGGTGACACTTTGAGTCAATCCTCCACGAACACCAGATTCAACCATCAACAACATATCAATATCGGTTATAAGTTCTAATTTACACTTGGTATCCTTTAACATAGCCTGCCATGCTAATCCTGGGGATGTGTAGGAGTGAAGTGGATCCAATCCATATGCTGTGAAACAGGTGTTACGAAATTCTTCCATTACATCACATAAAAGAGTGACATCCAGTTTGACGTAGAAATCACTATATTCGCCAATTGTCTTCATGTTAAGTTCTTCCCATACCCGACAAGCATGTTGGTAATCTTCAGGTTTAATCTCAACTTCATTTAACTTGTTGTAGAAGCATTCAGGTGGAGGTAGTGAAGTTTCTTCAAATCTCTTGAGATCGTCAATATAGTCGTATGGGAAAACACCTTTCTTCAAGACTAAATCCATTTTTTCAGAGGGGACGATTTTTTTTGTTTCTATCAGATCTTCTTGACGTACATTTTCAGTTAATTTCATCAAACTTGAGGGCATAAATCTAAACGAATCCAAAAATCTAAGTTTTATTTTACCTACTTTTTTTGAGAAACTAATAAACTTTTCAGTACTTGTTGCTAGAACGTCAATGTTTCCATTATCTCTTCCTAATTCGGGAACTATAAAGTGTGCATCATATCCACTTAGGTTGTGAAGAACCACTGGGATAAAACGTGGTAGTTTATAATTAATATTGCATCTGTTGCAGGCTGCTCCTCGATAAGCTCCCGTGAGATGATCGTGTTCCTTTACACGGATGTTATCTTCTGTAAATAAACAGTTGCAAAGATAACATGTAGTTGATGTTTCATGGTGTTCCAATTGTTCTTCTTGAAGGGGCTTCATGGGTACAATGTAATTGTATAGCTGTTCAACATTTCCGGCTATATCATACAACTTATCAACAAATTTCTCCGCGGCATTTTCTCCACGATATACTTGTGGGTGCGAAGTAAGTCCATATTTTCTAAGATGGTCTTCTGTTAGAGTTGATTTGAGGACTAGACAATAACTGTTAGGTTTATGAACTTGATATTTAGTTCTTTTTGTCTGATCACAACCATCAGTGTCTAAAGGTATTAGCGAGGACTCAAAATCGGCATAAATAACAATAGGTATGCGATATTGATGAATTGTCTTGTTGAATGTTACGGTACTTCTATTTGCGGATGGTAGTTTCACTTGTAACACATCTTTTCCATTGCAAAGACGTTGATGTTCAAGTAACCAACGTGTTGACCCACTCTTATAGTTTTTACTGACATAACAGAAACATCTTTTACATACAATAATTCTTTCATGTCTCTTAGAAAGCTGTTTCCACACGAGAGCATTGAAATCTTTTATGTACACATAATGTGAAATACAACCATCTTTGATTAATAAAAGATCCGTATGATCTAGACGCTCTTTAGCAGTGATTCGCAAAGGATATACATTGTTTGATTGATCTAGAGCAAATACATTAACAGATACAGTGGGATTTTGTTTTTCAAATGTTTTTATGTCATTTAAAGCAACTGGGTAAGTTATACCTCTAAAATTGTATTTATGACATACATCGTCGTATCTACAGTTAGGTCTCTCTACATTGCCTCCTGTTACGAATTTAGCTAACATCGCATACTTGAAACATTCATTGTCATCATTTTTTACATTAATGCAAGCTTTAGTGCGATAAATCTTTTGAGGTAGAGGAATATAACTGCTGCCTCTGTCTCCGTAACCATGTTTGTGAACCCTTATATCTAACCCAATAATATTTAGTAAAGACCAACCAGATCCCCGGCCTTCATGTTCAGCAATCTTTACCAGAATATCTTCCAGACAGTCTTCTACAATAGAGCTAACATCGCTTGTTACCATGATTGTTTGGTTTTTTGTAAGAAAACCTCTCGGGGATAGTTCATTTTGGACATTGGTAAACAAAGTGTCAATTAATATACCAAATTTAACAAAGTTAAGTCTTTTTAACTCTTGATTTAATGTTTCAATAATAAGTGCTTTAGTTTTACTAATAAATTGTTGGAGTTCATAATTTGTGTTCATGATTTTGAAGTGCTTGACAATTGAATTTGGTAAAGCTTGAGCCATTAGTTCAACGGTCAAAGTCCTAGGTGGAGCATAATGAATAACGCTTGGTCGATCCTGCAGTGTTTGTTCTACTTCTTGAGGTAAAGTTTCTTGTTCTTGAGGAAAAAACTCTTCTATTTCAGGTAAAATAATTTCTTCTTCTTCTTCTGAGTTGTTAGGGTTGATTTCATATGTTTGAGGTTTGTGAAAAATCTCTTGATGAATATCAAAGAGTATTTCATCACGAAAGTTTTCTTGACAAATGTTGCAAGTAAACATGATATTTAGATCATTATTGGTCAACATCTAAGACAGGAATAATTGTAAGATTTTATGAGAGGATGTATTTATAGGGGTTACCCCCACTACCTAACAAATTCAGGTATAAGGATATGTTGGACATGTGGTTTACCATTTTATTACAATGTCTCCAACAGATCACAGCTATCTTAGAGAGTCCATTGAAAACATGAACTGGGAAGAAAATCCTGAGCTGTTAGAAGATGATATAGAAGATGATAATTTTGATGACGAGAGTGATTTTTTGGAAGAAGAAACCGAACCACAGCATCATGAAATTGAAACACCGAAGAGTAGATGGAGTGCTGACGATATTGAAATGGATCGAACGTCAGTTTGTAAAACACTAAATTTAAAAGCCATGTTTGCCGACGTCTATCTTTTGAATCAGACAACGACGACGAGAACATATAATTGTTTATTTTATATTTAAAAAAAAGGGTGTTTATTGACCTTGACCTACTGTAGTGTGTAACTATAATGAAAAGCAGTCCGTACGACATTATGATGGTGATATTCACTCAAAAAATTTACAAGATGAGAGCTATTTCTTTTTTCTAAATAAACCGAACCATAATACCGTGTATTAAAAACACGGAAAAAGTAGATCGAGTCATGACAATATTGAAATGCAATATTAAATTTTAAAGGTCGTCGAAAGTGGTATTTTCCGTCGCGCGATTAAGTTTTTGTGTGAGGCGAAGCCGAACACAGGGGACATCTATTTCAAGTATTTTCAAGTACGAGACGACGCCGAGGACGGGAATAACAAATTAAGTGCCGGATAATAACTTTCGGTACGAGTTCTGAACGATACTTTTCATCACGACGGAAAAAATACACGAACACAGAAGAGCAGACCTCAGTAATATTATAACTATTTTATTTCTCAATTAATTTTCATAATGGAAACCTATATACATTTTGTTTAAATATCGAAATAAAAGAATAAAACAACTTTGAACAATACATAGATCTGATTCAAATCATTAAATTAAACCATAACAAAACACTAGCACGTGCAGTGAATAAATATAGAACTAATAGAGAGCAAGGGATTTTAGAGCTTGGGAAATGACTACTTTCATTGATGTCTGCTGTTATCGAAAGTAGGTATTTTCGTTACAGAGTGATTAAAATATAATTTACGCCACATTAAACTGTTATGACTAACTTTCCAAGCAAGGTTTTAGTCTAGAAAACATCTGTTTACCGTCATTTTTTATCAAATAGGATTTCATAAGTCTTACTATAATTTGCAATGAATGGTTAAGTTAAAAACTAAAACATAACCACTCTTGCAGTTTATTACTAGCAACTGTTACTCCTTTAGTTGGTAAGGATTTATACGGATTTATTAGTATGACGTAAAATATCTTACGCCAATCGTTTAGAATAAGTTTACTGAACTCATACTTCATACTTACTTACTTATTTAAGTAAGTAAGTAAGCTGTTTACTCGTCCGGTAAACACCTATTTCGCACCATTAAGTTCCAAATTAAATTGTTAATACTGGTAAAAGAAAATCTATATTTTGAACCTCCGATGAGTATATCCAGGTTCTATTTAATATAAATGTTTTAGTTATATAGGTCAAGGTTAAACCAAAAATATCGATGGAAGGAGAATACCTTGAAACAGATTGTTCCAAGATATTCTCCTTCCCTGCTTTTTTTTAAGAATTGAAAGAAATGTAATATAGAATGAATTATTGTCTTGTGCATTTTTTTTTTATTACGTTTTTCCATTTTTTTTGTTTGTTTTATTGTCTCATCTAACCTATGCAACTCTAATGTTCACAATCGAACTGATTCCGTAACGGAGTAATTTTCTTAAGTCATTCAACACCTCTTCTTTTAGTAGCATATTTTCTTCTATGTTCGACGGTGGGAAACAAGGCTTTTCTGAGGCTTTTATAGTGATTTTTATGTTATGGTTACTGTACGGTATCGATCCAATCACCTTTGATACAATTTTTAAATCAGTTTTGGTTTTCACTTGAATCCTATAGAGCGTTCTTGGTCGATGCTTTTGAGACACTTCTTGGCTGGGAGACATGTAGTATACAATTTCATAGACCATCTTGAATCTGCAGTATGAAAGGTAATGCGCGATATACGACACATGTTCGTTTATATAGTATGCATGTAGGGAAGGGGAAGGGATAAATTATACCCCCACTTATCGGAACTAAATTAATACGTTTTCAAATTTATTCCTGATACTCTTTGAGTCTTGTTATATAGGTAGCTATAAATTTATACGAAATTATAGTTCAACACAGACTGAATAGCGTAAATTAAACATAGACAGCTGTTAAATATAGCCATGTATTCTACAATGGAATCTTCCAAGTAGGAAGCTATTGGCTTGTTCTAGAAGTGATTAATAACACCACGCCTTCATGTCAAATTCCGTTGACCAATCCCATCGCCTCGAACGGAGAGTGCTCCACGTTCCTTGTTGGTGCTGCTATGCGTCCTTTGCGGTAAAACTCTGAACCATAATCTCTAGTTAGGTTGCAAGTGCTGCAAGTTGTTTTTGGCGGTAAAACTCTGAACCAAAACTCAAATCCACATAAATAAAATACAGTTTCAGACTTGCAAAGCTACGTGGCGATAAAAGTAACCTATCAGTTGTTTATAAATATTTTAATGTAAATTTAATTCAATATAACTACCTGCGCGGGTGCCGTCCACGTCGTGTGATAGGCCTATCTAAATATTCGTTTCGTGTTATTTATTGTGTGCGTGTGACAATGTGTTTGTACCAAGACGATGC